GTATTACAGGCTTGCCTCAGGGCTGGTAAAAAGTGCATCTGCTCTGACCCCGTGTGGGTGGACTAAGCTGGTTTCAGGAAAGGACTCTTTGAGGATGGCGGGCCCAAATCCAAGGACTACGGGCTTCAGTTCCACCAGTAGGTATCAGTTACAAATGGAGATTTGTACTGTTGCTCAAAGAGCCCTGTCCTGGTATGCAAACAGAGTAAGTAAAGCAATAAGCTGGATTCTCTAAACTATTTTCCTTACATTCAGTATTAGAGCTTCAGGGTAAGTAAACGCAAGTCTAGAAATCCAAACTAACTGTGTAAACTCTTGGATATAGAACAGTTCTTTACTAAAGGAAAACCTGAACAACATGTTACCGCTCTGATCCGATCATGACTAATCGGAGGACAAATTGTTAAATGATTGGACAGAGAAACAAGGACTCAACAAGCACAATTACAACAAACTGCTTGACATAGCCCTTAGGGAAACCCAACTGCAGTGTCGCTCATTTCCACAAGCACAAAGTCTAACCAAAGTAATGCAGCTTAATGACACCTTCCTCCTTGTCACTCAGTGTGGAGACAACAAAATACTCTGAGTGTGGTATTCAGGGAAATAAAAGGTTAAGCTGAATATCAATACATTGGGTTAAGTCATTAAGCGCGACACAGTGAGATGTATTAGACATGTCCAAGCATTCATCAGGCTTCTGCTTGGTTTCTCATAGCGCCCCATCGAGCCACCTCACTACATCAATATTCTAGTATGCAGAGTCCCACTCTACTCTGCTGTGTAACAACCAGCAGCAAACACACATTTCTACATCTGTGTGTGTGTGTGTGTTTGTGTGTGTGTGTGTGTGTGTGTTTGTGTGTGTGATGGTGCATGTGAAAGCAATAGCCTCTGCAGTGAAATAAGGCTCTCTGGGGTCTTGTGCCTCAACTGTAGAGCCTTTCTGGGCCCCCATTACTTCTGACAGATAGAGATCACTAAACTGCTGAACAAACACCCCATTCAGTAATTTGCATACATTACAGTAATGAAAAGAGAAAAATGTATCAATAAAGCCAAATGGAGTGCTTCTGCTACGTCTTTCTCTTTTTCTTTCTTTCATTATTTTCCTTTTCCATCATTTCAGGCAACAACTTTTAACTAAAAGGTAAGCAAGTGATTCGATAACATCCTTATTGACTTTTTACTTGACGATGATCTAATTTCTTAGGCTTAAACAAATTGAAATCAGAAGAAAGGAGAGTAAGCAAACAAAAATTAGATGCATTGCTTTTAAAACATGGTTTATCTCTAGAAAATTATCACTCACATTAAAAAGTGGCTCCTCTACTTCTAACGAATACAAATACTGACTGCCTCATTCATCACAGCCCACATCAGGCAAGACAACAGAGCTTCGCTGAACTTTTTCAGAGCTACTCAAGCATCAAATGCATGACTTTTAGCTGGTGTTGTTCCTCCATCTGTCATGCTTCAAGGAGCCAACATCCCTTTTTTCCCATCCCCGGATAAAGTTAAAGAAAGCATCTTTGATTATTCTACTTCATGTGTATCGATGAAACTGGGGAAAAAAACAACAAAAAAGAAACAATCTTAAATAAACAGAGGTCCTGTTCCGAGAGGCATTGTTTCAACAGTGCATCATTAAAACCTTCTACAAATAAGCAGGTTTTTCGTTCTGGTTTACGTATTTTAGTTTCAATCCACTGATTTGTTTGAAATTATGAAAAACAACCAAACCTGCTGGAGATTCTAAGGCTCTGCGTTCTCTCATAAATACTCACAAAAATTTAAACTTAGCAATTATTATGTCTTTGCTTAGAAAAGGTAAAATTATTTTACAGCTCCTGCAGCAACACACAACTCAGTGGTGTTATTTTATGTCCTTATGTTACAGTTATAAAAGAGAAACTGGACTCAGCTAAAACAGGTAGGTTAAAACTTTTAAAGAACCACAGCTGCTATCCTTTCCAGACTTACTGCAAATATACTTACTGCTTGTGTTTTTTCTAAGGGAATAAAGGACCAAATAGAAATCACTATCACCAGTAAATGTAAAAATTCCCCAATCAAGATTGTGTTTGTGCTTTTCTCTTAAATGCATTCATTAAAATAATACATTATAACTGGTAAAAAAAAAAAAAAAATCAACTTAATCTACAGCATAATCTTCCAACAGTAGAGGCAGTAAAAACAGGAAATTACGTTATCTATGTGAAATACCATGAGGGAAGATACATGGTCATGTTAAAGCAGATACATATTCATAGGCTAACATTCTGGAGAAGACAATTTCAATCTGTTTCATCTCTGCTCAGCTATATTCTCAGTTGGCTGAACCACCAATAAAGATATATAAAGCCAGTGCTTGACAGAAGTACCTGTCTGACTTCAGAGAGTTATCACCAAACAGAGAGGAAATGATGAGAGGTATTTCTGTCAGTTAAACTTGTTTTGAAATTAACCTGCAATCATGGTTTTTTTTTTTTTCTCCACTGAAATGGACACAAAACTGCTAAAGATGGCAGATGTAGCCCACTTTAATTAGCTAAAATTATGTCTAAGAGACACTGGAGCGTAATGAGTTTTGGAATCGTGCCAACAGTCGCAGAGAGGCAAAAATTAAACCTTTTACTTTTCCACAGCAGAAGCAGCATCTAAACAAAGCTACATATTAAGCTACGTTTCATCTAGAAGAGCATGGTTACATCTAATCAACTTATAAAACTAGGTATTTCTATCCATTGTTAGTGATTTAAAAAATGAAATATCATTTATGATACAGTATACACCTTAATTTTCAATGCATTAGAATAAACGTCCCAGTGAGTCTCGTCTGTAAGAATAAAAGCACCTTTTGAAAATAACTTTTTTTTTAAGTCCCCATTTCTGTTTGTAAAAGCTTTTTTGGTCTGAGACAATATTCTAATTTTAAATGACATGTATTCATGAGATGTAAGTGAAAAATCATCATAATTAACAGCAAAATGGCTTTCAAACATCCATCTGTGTGCAATTAATCTATATAATGTGTTTCACTTGGTGATAACGTTCCATAAATAAATGGGGTTTTCAATAATATTCTAAATTATTGAATGGGTCTGAATACGTTATGAAAATCACGTTTCTTTTGCTTATTCAGATATTAACTGATATGAAAAAACAAAATTAAGTAGTTCGGAAAAAAAAGTATTTTGTTGCTTCCTTTAAAAAGTATTTACACTCCCCTCAACTTTTGTCACTCAGCATACTTACAGCAATTAAAAGTAAGCAAGGAAAAAAATAAAGTAAATGTCAATAATGCGCTGTAAAACATCCCGTTCAAAGCTTTCCTCAAGCTTCGTAAGAGTCCCAGAAAATGCGGAAAAAAGGTGATCAGATTACAGCAAAACAACATTAAACATTTGGCTAACACATTTTGAAAAACTAAGTAGACTAACGGCAGTAGCATGCTATGGACGTCTTTATCTTCTGCAGAAATATGAGGGAATTGAGCTAAACTGAAGATAATTCTGAAAAAACAGGTTTCAAAAGACTTGAGACTGGGTCAGAACTGCACCTGAGTGGTTTAGATCACCGTATATTTATGTGTTACCGTGGCCTAGTCCAAGTAGAGGCTGAAATGCAAATTAGATTCCTATTTACAAAAGCTCTCCATCATATCTGACAGTTCAATCAGTGCCTTTTCCAAAGAAGAATGGCCAAAAATTAAGCAGATTTAAGTTTGCGGCTGCATTGTGTCCAAGTAATAATAAATAAGGGCTTTTTTCGACCCATAATTATGACACTAGAATCTGTGATAGTCTTTGTTTAAGAAAAGAAAGAGTAAGGAAAAGACAAGAACCAAAAATATCAGAGACTTTTAAAGTTTTCTTAGCTTTTAACACCGAAACATTCAGGTGAGATTGGGAGAAGAAGGGGAGCGAGGTTTTCTCAGGTCATGGCCAGTCGGCTTCTCACTGCTAACCTCCAGGGAGGAGCTCCAGACAGTGAAAGAGAGCCATACTGCAGTAAATCTACACTTCCCCATTTCCTCTCGCTCTAGCCCTCCAGTTCTCCAAGGATTCAGGGAATCAATACTGGCATCAGGGGGCAGAGCAGCTTTCCTGCCTGCTAGCTCCTGAAGCCACGTGAAAGCCTCGGGTTTGCTCATTCATTTTAATTTCAACACGTTAAACGCTTTTTGGGGATTTAAAGCAGGTTATTTGTGATCTTAGACTATCACTCTCATAGCACTCAGTATCTAAATAAATGCCAGATTAAAGGCAGAAAGTATCGGGTTATGTGTTACCACACCAGACAATTTTTCAACTACTCAAGAGGTTGCCTTTTTTTTTTTTTTATCTTTTTTTTTTTATGTTAGAAGCCACAAAAACGATCCTGGAGAGTGTTTTAATGTTTTTACTCTTTCTAATGTAAGGGAATCTAACCTCGGGGTGTTGACATGAGATTTGATTTTCACCACTGATCAAACTTGCAGGTTGAGGACCTTTTTTCTCAGAGAGGTTGCTGAAAAAAAAGCCAGGGACAAGGCTAATTTAATTTTTGGGGGGAGCAGAGATGCTCAGGTTAGAGTGAAGCACTCTGTTATCGAAACGGGAGCGGTGCCACGAGGAAAGATGGTTCTGTTGAGAGGCTTGTGTGGCCCGGTCAAGAGATGAAATCAGGGATAGGCGATAAGATGGTGTGAGGGGGCTAGAAGCCCCTATTAGAGGCCCTCAGGGGACAGGCAGCAGTGGCAGAGTGCAGTAAAAATAGCTATGGGCACGACTTCACTCTTGGGACACAGGGAGGAATGAAGAGGGAGATCTGATCAACATTTCGGAGCAAGGCAGTCGGATCCATTCCCACCACACTCCCCTGGGTGTCACCTATCAAACCAAGTGACTTAAACTGCTCGCTGCTGCCGGGCAGAACACAAACACGCACGTTTACGAGCAACACCGACAGAAAACAAGCATGCAGGGGTGTGAGAATCACCAGACTAAAAAGGATATGGACATCTTTTCCACAAACTTATCTTGGGGGTCGTCGGTTTTGGGGAAGTTCTCGATATCGTTCTCCAGTCGCTCAATATGCTTCTCCATTGTGGTCAGACTGCCCTTTAGGATTTCAGCAGACACTAAAAAAAAACAGAAAAGATAACAATAGATCATTATCAACATTTGGATTTACTGGAAATAATAATAATAATAAAAAAAAGTCCTTCCTCCTCCTAACAAAATCAACACAAACGTCGCATTCAAAGAAAAACCAGCTGCGACCGAGGCAGACTGTGTGTTGCGACAAACTGACTACAGTAAACTCAATTTGTGTGTGGCCTAGAAAGCCTGCATGCGTGTGTGTGTGTGCGTGCGTGCGTGCGTGTGTGTGTACAGTGTGTAGTTGTGTCTGCTGTGGCTCATTAATCAGTCTGTAATCACTGTTTGCAGAGTAGCTGTGAAATCCACAGTATTCAGATTAGGCCTTTCAAGTAAAAACTTCAAACAGCAAGCAGTGTCTAATGGGATCAGACGGGACAGGAGCATGGATGCAGTCCCAAGTTTAGGTTGCACTTTTAAGTTTTATTGATGCACGCAGATGCAATATAAATAACTTTAGAGGCTTTGTCAATGAATTGCGGTTCCGGCTAAATTAGGCTCACAGAGTAGTGGATCGAAAACCTTTTGGTTGATTTTTTATAGCCGTGAAAGCAAAATAAACTCCTAAATGGATTCATATGTTAGATGTGTAGTTAACAAGAAGCTTGGGCTGATGATGAGAGTGTACGTGAACGATGAAAACACTGATAAAACTCAGTCTTCAGTCAAACAAAACTGGTTGAAGGGAATGGTTAGGGTTTCCCAGAATACACGGGTTTGTGTTTTTTCTTAAAAAAAAAAAAAAAAAAAAAAAAACCAACATTTTTCTGAAGCTCAGGGTCTGGAACCTAAATAAGGGCAAGAGTTCAGAAGTTTTACAAAATGGTTCACATGAAACGCAAAATGCAGTTTTTCCATTTGTATTTCAGAAAAAAAACTGACAGCCTCATTCCAAGAATATAATTCGGATAAGCATAAAACCAACAAATGTGCCCGATTGTGTCAAAGGATATTAGAAAATGTGACTAAATTTAAAAAATGCTGTGCTACTCTCCTTGACCTTCTTTACACTTCATCAAGATATAACCCCCAATGCACTGTTTGTGTTAGATTAACGCAGTAATTTATAAAGAACAAAAATAGCACATGGTTTAGACATATGGAGATTATTATCTTTATTATAAATTAGTGAGAAAAATTAAGAATTTTGCATTTTTTTTAAAGCAAAGATAAATCTGCGAAATGCCAGTTGATATGAAAAAAGCTAGTCAGCCATTATAAAGGACTTTGTTATGCCAAATAAGATTTTTCCATTTTAATACTGTTCTTTGTTTCATCATCTTTTGACAAATGACTTACTCACAAAGGGGAGTGAATAATTTTGAGATGAACTGGATGGAAAATGATCAAATGCACTTAGATGTAAATGCAGTGGTACTGAGATAAGGGTAAAGAGCCCATCAGACCATTCCTTATTTATTTATCTATTTTTCTTTATCTAGGTTTCAAAGTTCAGATTTAGTCTCAGTTTGTTTTCAGACAGTTAGCTGACGATTGGATCTCAAACCACCTCCAACCAGTCAACTAAACTTCATCCACACACACATTTCTACCAGATCCACATACAGTTCAGCTGTAATTCAGCGTGAGTGAAGCCTGAGCTCTCTGTCATTATTGGACCTTAGAGCGAGCTGCCTGGATAGACAGACTGGGAGATTCCCAGCCCCTCCTCCCCAATTCCCGTAGACTCCGCTCCTGGGAATGACACCGAGCAAAACACAGTATCACATCGCTCGTTTCTCCACTGATGGGGCCTCTGAGATCCCTACGCTTTGCCACTGTGATCTTAGCTTCACTAATGGTGAAAAGGGGGAAGCGAACGAGCAAGAGAGGTGGGCTGATGATGCAAGAAAAGAGACAATTACATTCACACTGAGCTGCTGGGAGGTCTTTGTCAGGCACTGTGCCTTCTGATAGTACTATTATAGTAGCTTGAGGCCTGACTGATAGTACTGAGTAATGGTTTGGCTGAAATACTGATTATAGTAACTACTGTAGCCAAGAAATAGTGGCTGAAGCAAAGTACGCCGGGGTTCCAGGGGAGCTGTTAACAGGATCAGAGCACAGCCATGGGACTTCTGCACAGACTATTGTTTACATGGGAGCTGCCCACCACTGAGACACACCGGCACAAATATAGAACATGAACTGCTTACCCTGAACAAATCTGTTTCTTATACACCACAATGTATATGCTCATGGGCTAGTTAATGTTCTTTTTAGAGCTACACGCAGCACGTAGTATCAGTTCATTGTTGAGATAATCACTTGTTTACAAAATCTAGCACCAATTCCTTTAGGATATAATTAGTAAATCTACAAAAAAAAAAGAAAATCCTACTCCAATATCCAAGGAGAAAAATAAAATACATAGCACCACCAGAGTTCCGTGAATGCATATGAGGTGGATCAGAGGAGAAACGGAGGACGGGAGGGGTTGGACATTCTGGTAATGGCTGTGAGGAAGAGCAGCACGGGTCTTTTAACAGGCACACGTTACGGAAATAACCGCGAGGCTGCATGATGTATGGGGGACAAGAAAGAGAGCAGGGAAGACAAAAGGCAATTTGAAAGACAAGATTCTAACTTAACATATTTATTGATATGAGGTCTGTAACACTAGCTGTTGGCACATTCCTCCTTCCTACAGGGGAGAGGGAAAAAGGGAAAAACGAGATAAAGACAGAGCACATTATGTTTGCCGTGTACCGCTCAAATAAAGTGTCAGAGAAACACACTGCGCAGCTCACAATACCAAATCAACCACAATAATGTGAACATGTCAACGTTCGGTTCTGTAATTTGTGAAAGGGGCAATTTTCTTGTTATTTATAGACAAATAGTCCAAGTTTGCCAAGGAAAGTTCTCCTTCAGTGCTGCTTTAGGTTACAAAGAAAAATTAAGACTTTTTTTTTTTTTTTTTACACATGTAGACAAAGTCAAATGCTACAAAACTGAAGGTCTTTCATAAGTGCATCTAGGACCTTGGAGAAGTGAACGCATGAGGTAAGTTTGAGTCGCTATTTGCATAAAAATATACCAACATTTCTAAAAGCTACTACTTCAAGATAAGTAGTCGGGGTATCCAGAGAGCGGTCCAGGGGCTATTTGTGGCCCTCAGAATGATTCTGTGTGATACTTTGGATATCTCATATCTTGGTCCTGGTAACGATTCAAGTTTATTTTAATTATACAGGAAGTTGAACCTCAAACATCAGCAGACTTTTACTCCAAAATGCACTCAGATCGACTAATCATTATCTTTCTCCTTTACAAGCATTTTCAAACAAAAGAATAATCCATATCATGATCTTAATGCTCAGAGTTTACTGAAAAAAAGTGTCTTTACTTGCAAAACAGAAGGTGGTTCACTCAATAAAGGTTAAAAATTGTACACCTTTCTTTTAATATTGCAAACATGATGGATCCCATGTATGTTTCACCTTCACAATGGCTTTTTTTTTTGGGGGGGGGTGCATTTATTTGAAATAAATATGGCACGATTTGTCAATTTGCAAGTAGTAATTTTTTTTTTAAATCTGAATTTCACAAATCTATTTCATTTCAACTAAATTTTTCCCAGTACACACAATTTGTTGACACCACTGCCTTTTAGATTTACATGTTTATAATAAGAGCAGCATTAAGTTATCATGCTGAAACAATCTGACACCAGCTCTACCTAAAGTGAATGCACTTCTATTGAGTAATCTTCCAACTTATTTGATTTGTGGGAAAGATCATGGAACTAAAAGTGAAAAACTGCACAAGCAATTCCCTTCAGCACAACATGGTGGGTCTTGGTGGAGCTGTTGCACATGAACTCTATTAAGGACAGCTGTGTTGCGCTCTAACTACACAGTGGGCACCGGAGGTGATAGCACCCACTCAAGACAGTGTTTGTGATTCCAACAGATGTACAACAGCAGGTTTCAGAGATGTCCCGGAAAAAAAAAAGAAAAAAAACAAGACTGGTATATCTGTATTTTATTATTTTTTTTCTGAAAGCGATGTCAACCTCCCGGTGGAGGAAGAAACGGTGCAGGGGCTGTAAGAAAACTTTGTCGCAGATGAAACGCTACAGATCTGTGGCCCGGCGGAAACCCCGGGGTTGGAAGCAATCTCGGCCCAGCGTGACGCCTCCCTCCTTAAGCCTCTCACGGCCCTATTCGCATATGCAACACAGCAAAGCGAGGGAGCAACCTGGGAGACTTTTTAGGGTCTGTGCATCAAATTACGTAAAATTGTTGAGACAAATTTTATCTCACAGAAATACCAGTTTCAGTTCTGTTTTTTTTTTTCTTTCTTTCTTTCTTTCTTGGTGGTATCTAAAAATGAATTGGAGATGAAGTGGGAAGCGGATTATTTGGCAGGAGAGGTGGAAAACATGAAGAAAAACAAAAATCTGTGCTCCTCTTCCCCCTAAGCCTCTCAAGTTGCAGCAGCCAGAGTGATATTGTTGCTGTGGCACAGCAGTCACATTGTTCTTTCTGATTATCTCGGATCATGTGACGTTACAAACAGCAGGCAGGAGAAAGTGGCAAATTAGAAAATTTAATGGACAGCATAAACAAAGAGATGGGGGGAGTGCCAGTGTAATCTATAAACATTACGGTTCAGTGTTCAGATATCAGACGACTGGCGTCTTCCTGCTCCGTTATAAATAAGTAAATAGTTTCAGTTATTCATCAAATTCTAAATATTTATGTTATGTTGAATTATTTATTATTACACAGATATTTAAGAGATAGCTATTGCATCTTGATAGAAAATAAACAATTTGCATAAGCACAGCTGCAATCACTGTGAATGTTTTGATAGTTGCGTGAAAGTAACAGTAAATCTTTTATTATTTTTGCTCTATTTTCTTCTTTCACTTATCAAGCTGGGCTCTTTAATGTACCACAAATATGAACATTAAGACAGATTTGTGAGTCTGATTAAACTAGTGATAACTCCCCGTCCATCCAACAGAGGCCCC